TCGGTAATGGAGGTTTTTCGAGAGAGACCGCCATTCCTTTCTGCGGTAGATCAGTTGCCATCCAAGGATATAGAACCCGGTCTGACCTGCTATTTACCCATTGCTAGTACGAGAAGAGGAGTATTCATATCTTCCCCAAGAGTATTAGCACGGAGGTGAATGTAATGGACTCGACTGGAATTCAAACTCGACTATCCGATTCCTCAATCCGAGCCCCTATCCACTATTATTGGCTTCAAACCAGATTCAAGTAGTTAAATAAATACAGACACATACGCTCGCATCGATGGTACTCTACTGAATTTAGAACAAATTATAAGACAAAATAAAGACATATAATAACAATCATATTCATACTGGTTATCACATGTTGATAACAGCTTTCAATCATTCCATTGTATTGTGGGATCATTGGTTTGTCTTCCTCTTCTTGACGCCTGAACTTAGTTAAATATATCTGACTTCAATTTGCGGTTTGACTAAAGACAATATTCCAAAAATACGAAGGCATGCTGATCTTTTATATCCGTATTTGGACACTATTTACCTTATTTCCCATATGTGGTCCTGTCCAAATGTATTTTATATTTAACGATTGTCAATATAAAGTACATTTTGTATACAGAATTTGTGTCTATCTACAAAACTTATATAATTCGATAGATATTTCGCTAAACACTCTTCTCCATTAAGCAGTTTATATATTTTCTTTTTTTTTTTCTACGACTGAAAGGCCAAGGAAACCTCAATGGAGTAAAAAAAAATACCAATAACAATATTGAAATGCCAATAAAAGCCGGTTTTGCATATGTAATTATTTTCCTATACTGTTAGCAACTTGCAAAATATATTTATTATTATTATTATTTTTATTTTCTTTGATTTCTGGCGTTTACACATTTCTTTCCGGGTCCCGCCCAGGGACCTAAGGTTAGAAATGGCGTCATGACACTTTCCACTGACAAAAAAAAAAAAAAAAAAAATTACATAGATAAAGCCCTTCGTAAGGTGTGGGCTGTACTTGTCAGAACAATTTTCTGTATGTCCTTGAGGCATGGACTTCCAGGAATCCCTTCAATTAGTCTACTGGAATCTTTTCCAACCAGTCCTAGGGCTCCAACTACAACAGGGATTGTTGATGTTCCCCCATATGCCACATTTTCGCGATTTCTATTTCAAGGTCCTTGTACTTTGACAACTTTTGAATATCTTCAAAGATACATTGCAGTCGGCAGGGACTGCCATATCAATAAGGAGGCACCGTTTTTGTTTGTGGTCTTTAATAACAATATCTGGGCGGTTGGCCTTGATTGTTCTGTCAGTGTGTATTGTGTTATTATTATTATTATTATATTTCCTTTGATTTCTGTTGTAAACTCATTTCTTTCCGGGTCTCAACCAAAGTTCAAAAATATCATCATAACATTTTACACTGAGCATTTAAAAAATCTAAGATCACATACATTTTACATAGATAAAACCCATTGTAAGGTGCGAGCTTTACTTTTGAGAGTATTTTTTCTATGTCTTTATACCAGTGATCTCTTCAGTGAGTCTTTCGAAATCTTTTTCACTCAAACCTCGGGCTCTAATTGCACCTGGAACTGTTGATTTCATCACATGCCATATTTTCTCCTTGTACTTTGATATTTTTTCTTATTTATTTATTTATTTATAATTATTATTATTTTCCCCCGCCCCCGGGTCGTAACCAGAGACCAAAGGTCAGAAATGACATCATGACATTTTCCAAAGAACATTTTTGGCAAAAACAAATACCTCAGATCACACACATTTTACATAGATAAAGTATTTCGGAAGGTGTGAACTGTACTTTGTATGGCTTTACGGCATCCTCCCCCAAGGATCCCTTCAGTGAGTCTATCAGAAACTTTTCCAAACAAACAGAGGGCTCCAACCACAACTGCAATTATTAACGAATTACTCTTTTTATTCAAGAAACTTTAATTAATATACATATGTTGTTTTTAGACTATCTATATTTCGCTGTTTCAGGCGCGGGTTTAGAAAGCGCTTAGTCTTTTAGTTCAGCTGTATTTTCGAGTAAAAATATCCCTGCAGATAGAAGAGGCACGATGACGCTAATCCATAGAACTTGCTCAACATGACGCAAGATAAACAGTTTTGATTAAAAGAAGTCAAAACTTGAAAAAAATAAAAAAAATAAAAATAAATGAAAAAAAGAATAATAACAATATGGCGAATAATGAAATTGTAAGTTTTAGAGTGACAAAAAATAATTCTGCAAAACTGTTTCTTGTTGTGTATGCAATGGAATATTTCGGATAAAGTTGATGCAGTGTGTTTTAGATATTAGCTTCATGACGCCAGTTTTGCGTGCAGTAAACGCAACAGCAACGCATTCATCATCATCAATATTAATGTGAAAATATGCAAACAGATTTAATACACAATATGTGCATTGAAACTGGATGCATATTTTCGCATTTGCCAGATACGAATTCTACAAAAGAATTCTATATATTCTACGTATGCTTCTATGTAAATGTAACGATAAACATAACAGTAATTTAATATGCGTAGATATGACACCAAACCGTGTGTATGGAGCAGGCGGTAAGATTCGAACACACTTCTTCTTCTCTTTCCCGTTTCCCTTCAGGACGTAGTTGATCATAGGGGTAAATTATCAGGTTTGATTCCATTTTGAGATTATCAATTTTAAAATTGTAGATCTCTCTCTCTCTCTCTCTCTCTCTCTCATTCTCTCTCCGTTTATCATATATATATATATATATATATATATATATATATATATATATATATATATATATCGCACTTCACGATTGTGAAACTGCCTTCCGGCTCCATGTTTTTCATCCAACTCGAATTTTCAAAATTTAAATGCAATGAAAATCGCGTATTTAGTGTCTTCCTGATTGCTCTTCTTTTGTCTCGCTCCTTAATAATGTTTCTGCTTCTAATTCTTCCACACCCAGTAACCCCTTGTGTCTTTGCTGCCTTGCTAGCGGTGAACGCAATTATATATATATATATATATATATAATGCAAACATGATCACACAGTAGTATTTTGAGAACGAATATTTCGTTTTTTGTCAGGTTTTCTTTGCTCTCGTCACCTTGGAAACAAACAAGAAAAATCTCTTTATTGTCTGAAAAGAATCAACCCGCTATATTATTATTATTATTATTATTGTTGTTGTTGTTAGGTTATTTTTTGTTTTATCTTTGAAGCTAACATATCATACGAGGTAAATGATTATTCTTCAAAGAATATTCTTAACGAAGACTTTTGTGCTCAGGAATATTATTCTTTTTCTATTTGTAATGTCCTTTCAGGACTCTCCACAATGTTCTGGCGTTAGTGAATTTTACCTTTTTGTCATCTCTCCTAAATCCTTTTCTGCCAACCACTTACACAAGCTCGTTAGGTAGGTTACGCGCTGTTTACCTCTGTCCCTCTTGCTTTCACTCTTTAATTGCCAAACACTCTTTCCTCGTTATGTACCCTTGAAAGTTCAATTGTCCATTTCTGATATTATCTATAAGTGTTTTTCTTGTTTCCATTTCCTCTACAATTTCGTCGTTGCACACATGTTCAGTCCGTGGTATTCTCAGCATCCTTCTGTAGAATCACGTATCTTCTGCTTCAAGATTCTTCTCCATCTGTGATGACATTGTATAGCATTCTAAGCCCACTTTTCCCCTTATGCTCCCTTGAATTTTAATTGTCTCTTTCTGGTGCCAAATGTAAGTGTCTTTTTGTTTCCAGTTCTCGAACTCACTACTTATTCGTAACTGAAATTGCGAGACAACGTCGAAATGCCCAACAAACGCAGAATATAATAATAATATACTATATAATATAAATTTGAGGATCTTTAACTGGTGAATTCTCTAATGTAACATAAAGACCAAACAATGATAGAACACAATATAAATAGTATGAATTCGTATTGCAATTAAACAAAGATTGTTAACACACGTGTATAAAAAACATTTTAAGAGGCCCGGTGGAGTAATGCGGCTCGGATTGAGGAATCGGAGAGCCGAGTTCGAATCCCAGTCAAATCTATTACATTCACTTACGTGCTAATAATACCTTTGGAAAGGCTTGAATTCTCTTAAACCCCCACCCCCGCTAGCTGGGGGAGGGGAGAAGCAGAGAATGGTACGACAAGAAGAAGTAAATAGCAGGAAAGACCGGCTTCTATAGCCTCGGAAGGCAACTGGTCTACCGCGAGAAAAAATCTGCTTTGTCAGTCATGTCTCGAAATATACATGGTCGCCTAAGCGTGTATCACGCATGACACATAACTGACTGATAAAAAATATTGAAAAAACAAGTTATCGCTTGTCTCTCTAAAGTTGAACGTAGGAAGTTAGAGGTTCTGACTTGAATCGCAAAGGTCTATCGAAAGCTCGTTCTTTAATATCATAACTACACATTGATTATTACCATTGCTGAGTTTAGAAGTCATTGATATCTTTTGCACCATGATTATTAAATTTAGCTAAGTCTGACATAAAGTCACCTTAGTGGCAAGATATTGAAGATCGATCGCTCTCCGGAAACTATCCAGCTATTTAACATTAGCAAAAATTGCCTACCTTTGACTATAGATCCTTAATTCGCATCAAATACTACGTTTGGTAGCCCATATATTAAACAATGGGTTAGCTGCCATTTTCCAGTGATGGAAGTTTCGTAGATACTTTTTCCTCATTTAATCTCACGATATTATTTACAACTAGTAAATTCTTTGTTCTGCTAGGGATTCACATATTAAAAATATGTGTTTGTTAAATCCTGTTATTTAGTGCTAATTAATATACGGGATATTTTAATTAAAGAGAATTATTATTCCACAAGCGTGCACATAAATTGTACATATCTGGCTAATTAGGAAAATGGAACATCATGGTGCCTGAATAGAATGGGTGATTGTGAGTAACTATATTGCATGATAGGACATTGTCCTCTTCCCCATTATTCTATTTTGTATATTCTTTTTTGTGTGTTTTTGTGAAAAGATAGATAGATAGATAGATTAAACACGCGATAGATGAAAAAGACTGAAATAGATAGATAGATAGATTAAACACGCGATAGATGAAAAAGACTGAAATAGATAGATAGATAGATAGATTAAACACGCGATAGATGAAAAAGACTGAAATAGATAGATAGATAGATTAAACACGCGATAGATGAAAAAGACTGAAATAGATAGATAGATAGATTAAACACGCGATAGATGAAAAAGACTGAAATAGATAGATAGATGGGTTAAACACGCGATAGATGAAAAAAGACTGAAATAGATAGATAGATAGATAGATTAAACACGCGATAGATGAAAAAGACTGAAATAGATAGATAGATAGATAGATTAAACACGCGATAGATGAAAAAGACTGAAATAGATAGATAGATAGATAGATTAAACACGCGATAGATGAAAAAGACTGAAATAGATAGATAGATAGATTAAACACGCGATAGATGAAAAAGACTGTAATAGATAGATAGATAGATAGATAGATTAAACACGCGATAGATGAAAAAGACTGAAATAGATAGATAGATAGATAGATTAAACACGCGATAGATGAAAAAGACTGAAATAGATAGATAGATAGATAGATAGTGTGGACATAATAGTCAACACTGTCAGACACACACTCCAATCGATCGTCAAATTTGTTTAGCGGGATATCAACCTCTATGGATTAATCTGAAATCTACATATTTGAACGAAATTTTATAGCTTCAACTAAATATAATACTATAATTAGGTATTCATTGTACTTTTACTATAAATATGTATTGTTGGCAATTCTTTATGTAAAATATATTTTTATACTTTCATAGTGTTCTTGTTTTGGGGGTTCAATATTTGCCCATAGCTGGGACCCTAACATCTGCTACTACTCCGGGTTAGAACTGAACTGGGAAAAATGACAATTAAAAACTCAATTTCTCAAAACCTGCAATCTCCAGATGAGAGGCCTTGCTGCCGGATGTTGTCTATCGTCAAACGCCGGACTAGTGATGTTCAGATTTGAGTCACATATGTTTCTATCTCTATCTCCAATATCGATGTTTTTCTCTGTAAATATTCCACAATGTACCACAAACAGAAGATGTCACAATATATATATATATATATATATATATATATATATATATATATATATATATATATATATAATTAAGTAATTCATCAGAGAGAAGAATCCTCAACAGAAACGGCCGTCCAGTGCTTCCTGAATTCTGTTGAGGATTCTTCTAGATTCAGTGAATTACTTATGATTAACCAAATCCCCACCTAATTTCTATGTATATATATGTCACTACTTGAACCGGCTTCTAATGATCAGCATGGACCGGTTTGGGGATAGAAGACGTGACTCATGGGGGCACAGTAACAACGCAGACTCTCTATAGCATAAGCTCTTCACAAATTCCATCGTCCGGGTTCGATTCTTGGTAGTGGATGCGCACTGCTGATGAGTCTACAAAACAGGACGAAACGGCCGCCAAGTGCTTTCTGCATTCTGTTGAGGATTCTTCTATTACTTAATTATGATATATATATATATATATATATATATATATATATATAATTAATTTTTTCTCTTCATTTTTTCCAATCTTTCCCACTGTTTCATCAGTTAGAGTCATCTTATATCTGCAACTCCATCGAGCAAATTCTTTACCGCTTTATTAACAACTGATTATTTCGACGTGTTTTGATTTTTGTCTCTTGTTTCTCTTACTCTTTTCTTCCCTCGTCTTCTTCCTTTCTTTCTCCACTCACTTCTTACCCGCTCTCATTGTTTCTTAACATTAAATGATTGCGACATATCAAAATTCACAATTATGAAACTTCTCTTTAAGATGCCGTTGATTGCCTTGATTAAAAGACTAAAGAGGTTTAAGCACGATTAACTCGTGGGAATGCTTGAACTTCTTTCTGAAAAGAAATAGCTTTTTTTATATTTCAGCATTGCTATCGTGTTTCTCCGTCGTTGGAGTTCGGTATTTATCGAAGAAATTTTTCATTGATTCTGCCGAATGAAACAATACAACTTAAATGATTCGATGCTTCCAAGTCTGTTTTATTTTTTTTTTAGAGTTGAAAAAAAGTCTAGAATATTCCGGCGGGAAATTCATTTTAAAAAAGTTAATGAATGAGGCCCCAAGAAAGACAGCTTCTTAAAAAATTAAATCGATTTTTTTTTTTTTTGAGAGTGAATGGGTCTTTTACTTTTGGGTATCTTATTTATATTTTCAGTTTGTTTATTTTATTTTATATTTTTGCATTAGATTACTTAGAGAATTAACTCATAAAACGTTTTAAAGTAACACTTAACAGCAATGAAAAGGTTTGGGTAAACCTATGCATGAAGTCTGAAGGACAATTTTATTCCTTTTTTTTTTTTTTCATGTAAACGCGGTACATATATTACTGTGTCTATAGTTTTAATTCGGTTAACTTTAACAACTCCCTCTTTTAGTTTTTCTCTTAGAATTACTTTCGTGCGTGCACTGCATACATTATATGTGTGTGCACATTTAAATATGGGTTGATGCGCATGTTTTTTTTTGTTTTTGTTTTTTTCAAACTTCGTTAGGCGATACACTTTTATATCTTAAGTGTTTCCACGGGGCTTTATCTCGAAGGTCAACTATTCAATTTAATTTTGACAACATTTAATGGAACATTATCATTGTTACAAATCTTCTTTCGAAATGCTTTGTCCCTTCAGGGCATAGTTGGTCATGGCTTTTCACAAATTACTGCCATAATTTTTTGGCAATGACAGTGGAATGCTTTCCACAATTTCTACAATAACAAATTAGGAATTATCGTTATCTTAGACTGGCTGACAACCAAGAACCCAATAGACCTTGTTATATAAGCAAGAGCTACGGGTAAAAATAAATTGATTTATTTCTTTTTCCCAAGCTCATCAGTGCCGATTAAACGTAACAGACTTCGTCAGAATTTGAACCCGGTTTCCGATTCTAGTTTTTGTACCAGAAGCATAGACTCTTTTCTTTGTTTAACATTTGTTATTATTTTTTGTTTTACGTTTCTTATATTTTGTTTGGAATTGGAATTTAGACACCTCCCCCTTATTTCTCATCATCAGTTCTTTCTTCGTTTAATGATACTGTTATTAAGCTTATCAGACGTTATGAAAAGAATTTACATAAAATAAATAGACAACACTTGTCTATATTATTTAATGAAACATGTATGAATATATATATATATATATATATTAGGGTAGGTCGATTTTGGAACTGTAAAAAGAATAACTCGAGGAAAGTTGCAAAATATCATCAAAAATTACCACAAAAAATATCTTTCTTCAAAACTTCGTATTTATTTGCGCAATCGAACATAAAGACAAAATAAATTGCGAATTTTATCATCATAACGGTGTCACTGGAGACATGTGTATGTTAAATTAAAACCGAGTCTTAACGAAAAGAAAAAAAGAAAATAACGCTTAATAATGGATATTTTTGAGTTTATTATCTATTCTCTTATTAAATTAAATGAAATTACTACAAATAAAAAATAAAACACACTAAAAATATTCAGTTTAAAATACAAATAACTACTCATTAACGGCGTCGTTTTTACTGGATATTTTTTCGGTATTTACCGGTAGTAATTACCTCCTTTTGTATGTTCGTTTTATTTTTGTTTATGCTTTTAACTAGCGCAAATATCTATTTTATTTTTCATCAAAATATACTTAACTATTTAAAAAAAATACAACTTTTATAATTATTGTAATTTGTTTATATTTTGAAAATTAATGTTTTATTAAAAAGCCTGTTTACAAGCTAATCCCGGAACTAACTCTAATTTTATATAAACATTACTTTTTTAATTTAATAATGCATATCAAGCTTTATTTTCCAATTTATTTTGAAAAATACTTTTGTATAATTTCTGATAATACATATATTTTCTTTGTCAGATATTTTAATAAAAATGGCAAGAAAAACATCCCAAAGGGCCTAGCATACCGTGAAATATTGCTAAGGCTATATAGCGGCTAGCCTTATCAAAATTCCACGGTATGCTGTTGAGTTGATCAGGGGTGATGTACCTTACAATCTTGGAGCCAGCCTTGCCAATGCATTGCTCTTGGATTTGACGGCTATGGGCTTTCTCATCCCCAGTATTAATATAAAAAGATATTTATATAGATAAATGTAAAATTGATAGAGCAAAGGTTAAAGTGAAAAAAGTGATGTTTTGCATGAATCCAACAGTGCGAGCACTATCAAGGCTATCCTTGTTGACAAACACTAATGCCAATTCAGGCTGTGAAGGTGGATTTGCTGCACCTCTAGAAAGAAAACTTAACAGAAATCTTCATACTATTGGTTGCTCCTTGCACCAAAATAAACTTCCATTTAGAGCTCTTTTTAAACATGTGGATGGTACCACAAAAAAAGCCCTGCCACATTCAATGGTCCACTTGGAAGATTACGTGCAAATGATTACTATAATTTACCCCAAATATCATTTTCAGCTGTTGGCAGTCCTCTGGATTCTATTTTTAAAATTGAAAATGCAGATACCCTTAGTTGTGACCAAAGACTCTTTTATGAATATACAGTGGGTATTTCTAGAGGGAAGGTGGACTTTAGATTTGCATCATGGAAAATTGGTCCATTAAACCAGTCAAGGTGGTTAACTTTAGGCATCAGTCTGATGTGCTTATGGACTTATGGTGCACACCCACGAAATATTTCAACCAAACTCCACAGTTTAATAAATTTTATTGTGAATGTGTATGCCATTTGCCAGTTCCAAAATAAAAGAAATAACAAGTTCCACAATCAGCAAATGTATATTTTCAATATGATCCAAAGGATTAGGAAGCAACCATATGAAATCCAACAGATCACATTGAAAAATATACAATACAATGCTTTCGCCTTACTGCCTGAAAATATCTTATATTCAATGGTCAAATCTGATGAATTGGAAGTGGGGGAAGAAGCTATAAAAAGAATTTTGGCCATTAGGTTAGTAAATATTTATTCATATAAAATTGACTAAATTATTTATACCGATTTATGGAATCATTTTAAGTATTTTATCTAATTTCAAGATAAATATTAAAGCAGTACAGAGTGCAATTTTTTTAAAAGTAAATCAAATTAATTTTTATATTCTTTCAAGAGTGGGGAACAAACCAAGAAAAAATTAAAAAGAATCACAACTATCAATTTTAAAGCTATGCGCTGGAGACAGTTAAAAGATCTGTCATTAAGTGGAATTTGTGAACCACCACTCACAGAAGAATTTTCTGAAAATGAACTTCGGGAATAATTATTAAATGGTACGAAACTTGACTTGCCAGATTTGCCCTCAAATTTTCAAGGCATGGAACGGGCAGTCAAGTTAACAACAGAAGCTTCCCAATCTGTGTATGGCTTTGAAGCAAGGCACCAACACATAATATCAAAAGCTTTGTGTCAGAAATTGTGACCATCAATTTCATCTGAGGGTTCTTATATGGAGCTATTTGACTCTATATATTAAGCCCTATTAAACTATTCTTTATTTTTTCATATTTGTTTGTTTGTTGTATTTTCATTCAAACTAGAAAAAAATCAATTTTTTAATGTATTCAACTAATACTGCTTAATTCATGAGGTAAAAATAGCATTTCAAAATCATCAGTGATAGGGGAGGGGCAAATTTTCAATTTGAAGTTTATTTATAATTTCTACATTTTATTTCATTTTGCTAAAACAAAATAACAACATTCCCTGATTTAAATAGTGAAATTGTTTGTCTTTTTTTATCAATATTTAGTCTAAATCTTGCAAAATCGTGGATTTTTCAGTGCTTTTTTGTCTACGATCTTTGATGCCAAATGCTCAAAAAAACCGTTGAAGTGACAAATCTTATTTTTGTATCAGTACTTAACTGGTCTGTACACAACTTTCCGTACATTATTCTTTTTTGATATTTTAAAAAGACAAAAATCGACCTACCCTAATATATATATATATATATATATATATATATATATATATATATATATATATATATATGAACATTTGTATATAACAACTTTATACATAAGAAATTCTAAGTCATGGTGTATGATTTTTCGGTTCCCTTTGTGCATGTGGTATTGTGGTATATCTAGAAGTAAAAGATGAAGGATGGCTCCTTTTGGTATATGTGTTATTTGTATTGAATTAATGGCTCGTGAATCGAATTAGCTAGATATAGGACAGTTAATGATGATCAGCTTCAAATCACTACCCACTTTTTGGCCATGTGCCGCAATTATTGTATTTACAATAATAAATATATACTCTTTCTTTGTTACCCATTTTGTTTTTCCAAGTTTTTTAATAAGAATGTTTTATTTGGGGATAGTATTTGTTTATCTTTAGTAAAATGCTATGCCGCTATCAATGCGTAAACTTTCATGGTTTTCAATTCATTCCTTTTCCCTAATGTTGTGGAAACTTTTATCTCTTTCCGGGCAAGATAGTGAAGTTGTTTTTCGTTGTCTTTTCACGGTTTTCAATTAAGAAATTTAATTCCCCTAATCCGGTTGCTACCCAAGGTTCGAGAGTCATTTAGCATGGGATAAATTCTTTAAGTTATTAAGAAAAGGTGCAATACATACATACACACACACACACACACACACACACATATATATATATATATATATATATATATATATATATGGTTTGAATTTATGCAGATAAGTTTGAAAATTCATATTGAAGAACAGATACAGAATTCCGAGACAAAAACAAAACAAAAAAAATGTAAAACCACCC